ATAGCAATGTGGTTGACTCGTAACTGCCTTCTGCCTAGCTGGCAAGACCTCATCCCGTGAACGAATACAAAGAAAATAATCTTGGAAATCTCCACAATGAAACAATCAGCATTGCTCCTGCAGACATTTAATGTTGGCAGAACTTTTAATCTCAAAGTGTAGTGACTTTCTGTGACACTAATCTGATGGGAAAAGCCACATCCATTTGCATGGGATTGTTAACCTCTTTGCATGAGATCAGTATTCTGGTGGAGCAAAGTAGGATATTGTGATCTCACACAGGACTCGAACAAAAAATTGCTTCACAAGTAGATTTGAAGTGAAGGCAACCTGAAGGACAATAATGCAATCTGAATGGCGCACAATAAAGGCTTTGCAAGCTTCTTTTCTGAGAATCACAGAATCAAATTTGAAGCAAAACAAATTTGTTAGAAAATCCCTGAAAAAAAAAGTCATGTAACTATGTCAATCAGCATGATTCAGTGACAGAGACATGATTGAATTCCCTACGTGGTACTGCTGAGTCAACATCTTCAAAGCCTGATGCGGATCCTATGCTGAAAATACCTGGCAGTTTTGTCACAGATGGCAGACATAATTTTGGCAGCAATAGTGTTAGATCAATTTACTCTTGCTCATGCTTTGTACTGTCACTTCAAATACTGGCTGCCCTGTTGCTAAAATCAACAGAGTTGAGATAGTAATGTAAATTGTCAGCACTATTAGTGATGGTGAGCTCTGTCTGCTATTGCTTCTAACCACCAAGAGCATGAACAAATGTGATTTCAGACCTAAATTCCACCAAGAGATTTTCAGCCATTCACTAAAAAAAGTGTCTCTGAATTGCCATAAAAATTGTGTGAGATTTTGCAACCAAATTTTGAATGCAGAAAATGTTTTATTTTCTCTTTTACCAACAAAGCAGTCCTACACAAAATAAACAAGCCAGCTCCCCAGAAACAGCGAGAAAGATAAAACTGAATAGCTTCAATTCAATATAATTTGCAGAACTGAAAAGCAATAAGAAAATTCTCGACATTTCAGAGACCAAAGATTGACATGGCTTTTTGGCTAGTCAGTCAAAATCTCTACGTTTGACATTATTACAGATCAGCCGTCCAGTTCTCAAGTATTTATTTTCTGTTGAGGTACATAAATAAACATTAATACTGATTTCAAGTAGCACAGTAAACTTGACAGTATCTTAGAAGAACGAGGAAACGTTCAATGAGGTGCCTGCTATTCCCTTTAAAAAAAGCAGGACTCCTCATTCTAGAACATGATGGATGACAAGGAGCATAAAAAGCAAAGTTTATGCTAGAAACCAGGAGCAAAATACTGCAAAGAGAGTTGAGGAAAACAGAAAAACATAGGAGATAGTAGGAACTGCAGATGCTGGAGAATCCGAGACAAGGTGCAGAGCTGGATGAACACAGCAGGCCAAGCAGCATCATAGGAGCAGAAAGGCTGACGTTT